CACACACACGCACTCACACACACACACACACACACACACACACACACACATATATATATATATAAATATATACATACATACATATATATATACATATATATATGTATATATATATATATATATATATATATATATATATACATATACATACATACATACATATATATTATTATTCAACTACAACCTGGCTAATACTTTGTTTATCTTTGCCGTTCACCACAAGCTATTGTGAGTAAAACCCAAAACCCTGGCTGCACACACACATGGTATAAATGCACTACTATGACACCACTACTCTGCCAGATGGCACCTACCATATGTTGACCACTTGGGCCACAAGTGTTGGTATGTCGATGTTGTACACAATGCGCTCGGGGATGTCCAGGGTGTCTCTACTCTCCATCACACTCAGCAGCAGAATAGAGGCGTAGTACTATGAGAGGGGAGAGGAAGATATAAATAGAGACGAATGAGGTGATATGTAGATATAAATAGAGACGAATGAGGTGATATGTCTCACCTGTGTGTACTTAACTATGAGAGGAGAGTGGAAGATATAAATAGAGACGAATGAGGTGATATGTCTTCATCTGTGTGTACTTAAATGCGATGTTGCGTCATAGCATGTACTTAAGAAGTGTGATAGTTGATGGTGGTGGATTGTGTTGTGGTGACAACCTCACACTCATGTGTGTAGACTATCAATGCACTCCATAACACTCGTTGGCAGAATAGACAACATATACTGCGGGAAAACAAACGGAAGAGATAATTACAATATATATATATATATATATATACACATGCATATGTATATATACATATATACTAATATATATACATATAATACAACAATACTATGTATAGTAAAATAGAATATAATAATATATATAATAATATAATATAATAAATTAATAATAATAATAATAATGATAATAGTAACAATATATAATAATAGATAATTATATATAATATAATATATATATATATATATATATATATGGATAACAATATGTATATCTATTCAGGCATGTTAGAGTGTCTGAGAATGCAGGCATGACTGGATGGGATGGGATTATTATACTATTTCATCAGATACGATATTGATACGACAGTATACTATACTAGTGTATGCAGCATCGTTACTATAACATAATGATACTATACAGTATACTGATACTATATAGTATACTGATACTATATAGTATATTGATACTATATAGTACATTAATACTATAGTGGTCGGGGTGAGGTGAGTTCAAAAGTATCAAAGGTAACACAGTAGAGGCCCTTAAAACCCTAAAAACAACGTAGTCAAGTGACAGCGACAGCAGATGGAGACCTATAGGGCCACACAGAGAGATGTAGTGATGGTCTATGGAAGAGACCCAACACACGACAACTACTTTCCAGACCAGTACGTGACCCCACTAGGGTTTTAGGGTTTAGGGCTTTTAGGGTTTTTAGGGTTTAGGGTGACCCCATTAGATGCGAAATATAGGTACACATGGAGGGTGGGCGTATGTATATGCACAACCTCTACTTGTACAGCTACATATACACACTCACACACACCACCACACACCACACACCTTCAAACACCCGTACACTACCTCTACTTAAACAGCCCCATTACACACACGCACACCACCACACACCTTCAAACACACGTACACTACCTCTACTTAAACAGCCCCATTACACACACCTTCAAACTCAGCACCAAATCAAAGCGGCCCTTGACCATCAACCCAGCATCGGAAGTGATCAACGACCCAATGACATCGATGCAGTGACTCTCGTGTGTGATGATCGCGTCCTGATTGGCTGTGCACGGGCCCTGGCAGAACTCCGTCAGAGTGATCAGACACGCATTGACCATGGGGACGTGTGTGTCCTCTAACTGTACCTGTGGCACACGATAGTGTATAGTGTAGAGGTTACATGCGTGTGTATAGTGTAGAGGTTACATGCGTGTGTATAGTGTAGAGGTTACATGCGTGTGTATAGTGTAGAAGGTTACATGCGTGTGTATAGCGTAGAGGTTACATGCGTGTGTATAGTGTATAGGTTACAAGCGTGTGTATAGTGTAGAGGTTACATGCGTGTGTATAGTGTAGAGGTTACATGCGTGTGTATAG